TGGCTTTTGGCTTAAACAGACCTTTTCATGGCAGGTGGATGATGTTGTGCAAGAAGGTGTCGTGGTTTTTCTTTTTCCAAGTTGGTTTTTAATTGCCAGTGATGCACAGTACATTTTTTTTTCTATTCAGTAACCGAAAAGAGCAAAGCGAGAGACTTTAGGAGAAACTTGGGAACTCCATCTTGATTATACATTCAAATATTCACAACAGCACACACGTCCCGTCTCTTTAATCTGCTTCGCTGGAACTTTTCTATTCAGTAACTGAAAAATTAAGCAAGAGCTTTTTTTTTTCTATTCAATAACCGAAAAGAGCAAAGCGAGAGACTTTAGGAGAAACTTGGGAACTCCATCTTGATTATACATTCAAATATTCACAACAGCACACACGTCCCGTCTCTTTAATCTGCTTCGCTGGAATTATCAAGGATATGCCCCAGCCAAAGATTAGCACGTTTTAATGTGTTGAACTTTAAGCACACAAATGAGAGGCAGACAGATCGTGTGCCAGAGGGTAGCGTGCCATGCTTCCTCACCAGGGCAGCCGTCTGGGAACTGAATGCTACTTCCTCGGCTCTGAAAGTTCAAGTGAGAGTAATGCCAACCCAAACATCAGATGGTTCCTCTATAGGTTTCCCTAGGTTTATAGATATATGTATTAAGCATACCTGCTTGCAGAAGTCCTATCTGGACTTTACTCCAAAGCATTCAGATTCCTAAGTGTTTGTACAGAAATGAACTTGCAAGAGGAATTGCTAAGATTCAGAGGCAGCTGTTGGAGGTCCATCCGATTTCGGCTCGACTCTTTGCCAGACCATGCAGCTAAATTATAATGTAGCAGTCACTCAGCGGTGATGCCTGAGGCGAAAGATACTGTATGCCCACCTATGAACCTTCACCTGGCCAAGGCAAGGCGCCAGCCAAGCTGTTTTGTCACATAAGGCCTGAGAACAGGTAAAAGAGATCTCTCTCTCTCTGTCTGTCTGTCTGTCAGAAGCCTGGCCTTGGCCACTGCTGCCCCCTTGCCCTTCAACGGTGATGCCTGAGGCGAAAGATATGCCCACCTATGAAGGTCATGCCACAAACCCAAATGTCCTTTCAGAAGCCTGGCCTTGGCCACTGCTGCCCCCTTGCCCAATCTTCGTCATCCAGGCATCTTATACAAGGGAAGTCAGCTGACATTCCCATGAGGTCATGCCACAAACCCAAATGTCCTTTCCCTAGCAGGCGTCTCGGGAGACCATGGGGGAGCTACAGCTGTGCACCCACCTCTTCAAACGTTAAACCATGCAAAAGGATTTTCCCCCACCTGCCATAACAAATAAGTTCCTCCTCTCCATATCTACCAACGTCTCCCAGGCAGCAGACCTGAGCAGTGAGCGTCGGAGAGCTTCAGGATCAACCTGGCGTCCCTCCTCACCCACTTTGTGGTCCGACTTTGAACAAAGGCATCGTCTCTGCCAAATGTTTCACTGATGAGCAAAGAGAATGACTGGTAACAGTCATTCAGGTCCTTTGGTTACAAATAGTCAGAGTTACAGAACAAAACAAAATGGAACACACACCCCTTGCAAGATTCCCGAGAAGATAAGGCGGAGCTGGAGAGCTGATTGGCACAGAAACGGGCAGAGGAAAGAACTTGCTGATGGCAGCCGTTCCTGACTCACGGGGGGGGGGGTTCATTCCTCAGCTGCTTTTCCCTCATGTCTTTGCAATCAGATGAGCCAGCGAGGACAGACAGGGTGAGATGCTAAGATCAAACCAGCAGGCCTGTGTTCAGACGTGGATTCTCGACTGTACTGTGGAGGAAACAGCAAATATGCAGGCAGGTAGCCTCTGTTCAGCTTGGGGAAGCAGAGAGACAGCTGGTGATAGTATAGGATCTTGAAGGGACCATACATGTTTCCTGGTGGTTAGAGAGCTGCGTAACATGGCATGTAGCTTCATATTGGCTACACTGACCGGCAGCAATGCGTGCCTCCAGGAATGCAGGAGAGGGGTCTTTGTAGTCCAGTCAGGAACACGAGGTTTCCAACAGCCCGTTTCCTTCCTCACTCCAACCGTTGCTTTGATCTTCTGGGATTTCAGGGAGGAACCAAAGGAAGGACCCTTTTTCATGAGAGCTCTTGGAGCACATATGTATGCTTTCCCTTATCCCCCCACACAGATCTTTGCAGAAATATATGCTCGTTAGGGAAGCTGTGTCACCTCTGAGCAGACTTCACTTGCCTTCCATCCCTTCACCACAAAGCCAAGACTGGTTGGTGGTTTAATGCAAGCGTTTTATCCCAATTGGCTGAGGCTGCTGTACGAAAGAGGAAGAAAACATACCAGGATGGAAACGGAATTAAAGCGCTAGCTGTGGATTCCCTTTTGGAAAAACTGAACACTCATTAAGTCCAAGTGGGTTTTTTCCCCTTTAATAAAATGCATGGAGATACCCATAGAGAAGCAGTCCTTTTGACCCCCAAATGGTGCAGCTCCAAGCTGTGAGTTCCCTCAGGCCAGTACATGAGCTATTACATGAAGTGGATCTGGAGCAAAGGAAAAAATGCATCATGTATAATAAGCTCCATAAATCTTAGATAACACCCTGAAATAGTACAATGGTCCAAGATCAGCCAGGAGTCTGTTCCAACAGAAGGCCTGAAAATAAACCCATAAAACCATTCCATAAAGCAAACAGCTATCCCTTCTGGATAAATAAACATCTGGAATAGTATGGAAAACGCCAGCCTCTGGAGCCAAAGGAGGTTAAAAGAGGACCTGCATGGCAATGAATTGACAATCACTGGAACGCTTGCGCAGGCAGTGAAGGAAGGTCCTTTTACAGGGACAGGATGCTGAGAACACTGTTGGATTTATCTATAGACATTTGGCAGACTATCCCAAGGATGATCATTTAATTACAGCAAGTTTTAAAATGTGCATTGGGAACAAGGGTCCTCTCCAAAAGCAGTTGTAACCACATCAGAGGCGGCATGCCGTGGGCTTGTGTCTTTTGTAACCTCCACAACATTGCTTGCTTTTCACAAGAAGCATGTTACCTTATTTCTGGATGCTGAAATCTGACTACGGGGAATTTACAGCTACATCTCTCCATGAAAAGGAGTGCTTCGTTTACACTAGCCATTTAAGAGCAAAAGTCTATAAGCGCGAGAGGGTTCAATGTAAAACAGTGTGGCAGTTGCACCTTTCATCAGAATGTCTTACTCCTTTCTTTACGGAAATGAACCCATCTCAGATGGGGATTTATGAAGAGATTCAGGGTACAGTCGTCCAGGAAGTACTTCTGTACTAAAACACATTGGATCGCATCTACTGTACTCTCACGCATCTTTTGAGACTTGGGTGCTAGTACTTGCTTGCAAACAGCGCTCTTCCTTTTTTGCATTGACTTTTCATCCAGTGGTAGGTTGCCATGGCTCCTTAAGTTAATGGTTAAGGATCTAATGCTTTTGTACACTGTCATTAGGAGAAGTCCTATTAGACATGTTGGGCTCCCTTGTAACTAAATAAATATACACATGCTTGTGCCAGAACAGCATGTGTTGATCCCCCGCAAACTCTTGTGCAAGAGAGGCATTGTGGGGTTCTATTTCCAGCTGGAATATTTTAATCTGCTTTATAGTGTGTATATAGGGACTTTAGTGTGTCATTATTGTGTCATATTTCTATTTTGTGCATTGCCTTGAGACAATTTTGTTTTTAGCTTGGAAGTATTAAAATATCTCAAACAAATTAATAATAATATCTAGCCACATCTTATTTCTCTATGAATTCTGTATGAAGAACACGGCGATTGAGACATATTAGAATACTTTCGAGGGCCTGGGGAGAATTCCTGGTTACAGCTAGGTTTCAAGACATTAAAGTTATTTATTGCTGATTGTGAGGAAAAAATGCATTTTCACATATTCCACCTCAGTAGAGATGCACGTATAGGTTGTGCTTTTGGGGCCAGGCCATCTGAACTGCCAGGTTACAATGCACGCTTTGTTCTTGTGGGTTCCCCTTCTCATCTTTCGCTGCCTGCACAGGACCCCACCTCTCGCATCCCCCTGGTTTTAAAATAACTTTCTTCTGAGAGTGCAGATTTACAGCCCACTTCTGGAAAGCTATAAACCCGGCATCTTAATCCAGTGGCGCAGAGGAGAACTTGCGTCAAGAATGCCCCATCCAGAGACTCTCTGGCTGCACACCTCAGGCCCTCTTGTTGGTTTGGCAAAACCACACACAGCCCTCATTCTGTTCAGGGCAAGACCCGTTTCCGCTCCTGTGCATCCGTTACCAAGAGGCAACAAGCCTCTCCTTGGAGGCACACTGGTGTTCTGTAGGCATTTCAGCCAACGGCCCCACTTGACCTCCGCGTCTTGGGTAGCGGAGGCAGAGAAAGACAAAAGGAGGGGCTCTTTCCCCATAAACAGCAGGAACAAGAAAAAGCCAACCCACCGCTGCCCTTTTCTGTGGTCAGGAAGCCTTGGAGAGAGTCTGTTCCCATCAGTCAAGCTCAGTCAGAAGGCCACCTGAGACAGGAGTGGGGGGAAAAAGTAGGCCCTGATCCCACCCCCACCCCCGTCGTTGCCTGCTGTCAAATCCTGCCACTCCAGCTCTCCCCTCCATTCTCCTTTTGCCTCTGGTTTGCAATTTTGGGCCTCTCGCCCTTCAGATGCACCAGCTGATGGTCCCTTACCCTGTACCCAAGGCTTCATGGCAAACAGAAAGGGCTGCTGTGTCCCCCCCCCATTTGTGCCTTAATGTGGAATAACGGCCATGGAAAGGTATGCATCCTCTGGCAGGGGGAAACCTCTGTTGGGCTTCGCACATCAACGGTATAATCCTTCCAGGATAGCCTTTGTATCCAAAGAGTCTAAGAAAATGTCCCAGCTGAGCTTAGGTTTCCTGCTTTCAGCTGATACAGTGCGAAATAACAAGCTTATCCTTTGTGCTTTCAGTTGAGCTGTTTTAATTCCTGACATGTCACAATTTCTGTTTTCCAGATTATCCTTAAGAATCGAACCAGGAAACAGTTCTCCGCGACTGGTATCTTCAAAGGAAGATCTTGCAGGTACAAAACAAAGTTTATTGCCGATGCTAAGGCTTTACAACATGGCATTACTTAATCCTGAAATTCCACAGACTTTCTGCTCAACATTTTCCAACCTGGAGACCACCCCGGTGGTTCTTTTTTTGCAAAGTCACGACCCACACCTAGGCCTGTTTGTTTTGTTTCTGACAGCTCATCTCGGAGACTGAGAAACTATTTTAGATTTGTAGCTAAGGGTCAGATTCCACAGGGTCCACTGGGACTTACTGAAACTGCTGGGCCAGTTCAATAGCGTTCATTGCTATTGTGCTGGGCCCATGGCCTTTCACCAGCCCTTGCTACAATTTGAGGATGAAACGGACAAAGAGGAAACCCAAATCCTATACTGAGAATCCCCTCCTTCCCTCCATCTCTCTTGTTCTCTATTCACCATGTTCAGAACTGGAGTTTATATATCTGGACATGGTGAATACAGGGCAAGAGAGATGGAGATATATATTTACCACAGTGGTCTAGCCGCACAGCATGTAGCCCACCTCAGTCCCCTGAAAATTCAACCTGGAGATGCTAGAAGTCAACATTTTGTTTTGTTCTGGAGAAGCTGGGGAAACATGTATAACAATCCTCCATGGATAAACAGGCAAGAATTCTGGACCGTATGTTAGCAGTTTGTACAGACGATTTCATCTGTTTGGTTTTGGTGGAGGAAAAGAATAGCATCTCTTCCTTTATAACAACTGTAGCAGCACCAGCAGTAAAGTTACAGGTATGTTCGGAAACAGTACACATGTTTATAATGTAGTCTGATTTCATACCAGATAGTCAGTCCATGAACAGGTTGCTTTAAAAACCATACTGCAGAATTCATTCTTCTGTGAGATGGGTGGCAAATTTTTATCTCAAGATGATAAAAACATTGGATCAGGTTTAGAGCTATTTATAACATTTGTGTATGTGTTGCTGGCATAAGAGAAATCAGATATAGCCTTTCTGTTTTCTTGCTCCAGGAAAAGTGTTTACCTGCCTCATCTTAAAAAAAAGAAGTTAACTTGGGGAGAAAATATTAAACAAACAGCAGTTTTTATTTCAAATTGAATCCCTTGTTTGCAGAAACTCGGGAGATGACAAGGAATACATGCATGACAGGATGCATAAGAGAAGCCTATTTATCTAACAAAGATAAAAATTAGTGAATCAACATTTCAGGGACTTGACGAAAGAATATTTTGCTTTAAAGGCGTTTGCACAAAGCGAAGTAGGCTCGAAGCACACTCGTTCCAAAGATGCAAACACACACCCAGCAGCTCAACAGGGCAGTGTGCAGAGTTCTTGTCTGTTGTTCTGTGTTCATCTCCAGCAATGCAATGAGACTGTTGTGTTATCCTACCTTTACGCCTTTTCTTATTTTTAGCAACTCCATAAAAAAAAAATTGACCTGCTGCACATGCATCTCTAAATGATTGGCAACTTTGTTTATATATTTATTTATTTTATATTGTTTATTTTAATGTGAAAGATATGTTTCTAGCTTTAACCTTGGTGCTGTTGCAGGCCATAGCACCAAAATACACAAAACCTGAACATAATGTTGCTTGGGAAAAAAAAGTGAAGCAAACCTCTGAGCCCTTTATACAAGTTTCAGCTTCATCTTGGCGCCTGAGCCTTGTAAAGATCCTCTTGTGCAATCTGATAAGTTTAAACTAGGCTTTCAATCCAGTCTTTGTCTCTTTCTCTCTCTGTGTGTGTCTGTGTCTCTCCCTCTTGCTCTCTCTCACCCATATAAGCACACTTATGCACACCACAAGCACCCTTCCTCAAATCTCCATGTGTTTGTCAGCCTGTGGGCTTGGCCAGAGCCATCTGGCACGAAGGCCAGGCCATCTGGCCAGGCCCACCTCCTCCCTAACCCCAGCCACCACCGTGGAAATTGCCAGAGACCACCAGTCCTCCTGGGTGGCGGGGTGTTGCTTCAAAGCCTCTTTCACTGTCTGTCCTGCTGTAGATGGGACTCTACAAGGTGTTCAAAAACCCCCACAAAACCGCCGGTGTATAAAGGAGCACAACCATGGGAGAGAAGCTGAATGCTCTCTGTGAACTAGTCGGCTCAGTGCACTTAGATTTTGATGTAGCCTTCCATGTTTTTTTTATCACCACCCCCAAGAATTCAGAAAGAAAAGATGTCTCCCTTGATAATGCTTCTGTCACTCCTGTAGATAGTTAAATTCTGCTTACCTTCGAGGGTCTGTCTAGACAGACCTTGCATGAAAAATTAACCATGTTCTCATTGATTTACTCTGAAGTGTAAATGTAGCCATTCCAGTGTGGAAGTATTCACACCACTGTAGCTTAATTAAGCAAACTTTAGTAGTACTGATTGATATGTGCTTAGCAAAATGTTCATTCATGCTACGGGGCACTTTTTGAACCCAGTGCCCGAGGGCATGCCAGCAGTTTCTACTTCTGAACTATTCTGTTATAGCAGTCAAGCTGATGGCATCCCATTCCGTTAGAGCTTCCATAACTTGGTGGGTTTACACAATATAGTCTGTTATCTGAGTTGTGCAGAAGCACAAGTGTCCCTCTTGTGTTCCGTACTTAAAAATACAACAGGCAGTACTTACTGTACTTTGAATATGTGGGCATGGTCTACATAGTGGAAGATACCTTTCGGTTGTGGAATTGTGCATTATTATAGAAGAAATGGACATGCAGGGGAAAAAGTATCTTAGAATAGGTGGCTGTAGATGACATATCTGGAGAACTGTAGTCTGGTTTTAATTGGTGGCGATGTTTCCTGAGAATATTCCTCGTTGCTCATGACCGGGCGTCTTGCATTCCCAAGAAGCACTACCATCAAAGTGAGTGTGAGAATCATCAGGATTTAACCAAGCTGTCTCAGCACACATATTTTGTCTGCAGTATGGAGATGAACCAACCAGCCTTATTAGGTTGTGGTTGGAGATGGGCACTTTGTATTTGTATCTGAAGGGTGTGAGTACGAACCACAGCACCACGCATGCTGTGGACAACCCCCCCCAATTCCCTCCCCCAGAACTGGCTGGCCCGTTGGGGGTTGTCAGGAAAGGGCCAGCCGGGCTCCATTCCTGCTGACTTCATTGTGAGTACTTGCTCCGTCTTTTTGAGCAGTGTAGGCCGGAGGGTCCCGATGACACTGCGCTCGCTCCTGTGACACGCGTGACAAAAAAGAATGCAGTGTGCACAAAGTCTCTAATTCCCTAATTCAGAAATTTGGTTTGGAATATGAGAGGTAGTATAAATATGGCTTCTGCACCAGACTAAACAAATCAGGACATGCAAGCGGATATTGTAGCCATTATCCTGAAGGCAGCCTCTGCTCCAAATTCTCCCTGATGTGCCAGTTATGTGTTTGGCCAGGCTGACAGGAATAAGCCGTTAAAAGGGCCAATGTGAGATATGGATGAGGATTTCTCTTGACACTTGAGAGATTTTTGTATCATTTTTGTCTAGTCGCTTAATGGAAACCATCTGAGCACATGCCTTTGCAAGGAGAGGTAACTGAGTTGAGAAAATGTCTCCATAATTACAATTTAAATTGTGATGCATTGGAAACTAACATGCACTGTGGATACACACATGGATGGAAGTAAGAAAAAATTACAAACACTCCATCAAAGACCTTGAGTACAAAGGCTTATGGTAGATTTGTGGCACTGGTGCATAAATGTTTGTAAATGGCCCACTCTGTCCTCTTGCGAGAAGGCAGAGTGGTCCATTTACAAATGTTGCCACCGGTAATGTTCACTTATGTAATTGAACACTTATAAATTAGGTAAGATCTGCTTTGATTTGGATTCCTGTTGGTCTTAGAGGTCCCTTCCAACTCCATGATTCTATGATTCCATGTAGCAAACTCACTGTTCAAGTTCTAAACAAGTGCAAATTGAATAGAAACTCATTTCCTGCTGAGGGGTAGCCTTCATCATATGTAACAAAAACAAGAGAAAAGTGAAAGTCCTCTACTACCTTTCAGGCTAACAGATTTCAGTGCCAACTGCCATGGATCATGAAAGGAAATGGACTCTAATTTACCAAAACACACTATTAAATTCCACCCAGTGTTGGTTTTCTGTTTATCTCATTTTGTCATATTTTCTGATTGGTTTTAGTCTAGCTGTTTCCTTTGGCTGATGCAAGGGCTCTTTCAAGTCAGCCGCAGAGCGTTTTTTGCAAGACAGAGGCACTCCCCCATCAATTGCAACAGGGTGATTAAAAAAAAATTATGCTGATCCATACTCCTGTATACAGATGGGTTTGTTTTTCCTAGGCAGAGATGCGGAAGTCCCTCTGATCAGGTGGTAAATCATGTCTTGTAGGAGCTTCTGCTAATGATTCGCCCATGATATGGCTGCTAATCTGTGACCATGACTAGCTATGAGGGCGAAACCCTTTGGTTTTCCTTGTTTGAAGACTGCAAGCATCCTCCTCTGTGGCTGGAAACAACTGGCAGGAGAAGATAATCAGTGGGTTGCAAGAAGGAGTGGCTGTCTCTTCTCTTGTGCTTGGGACAAGAATCCTGATCAGCTGCCCCCTCACTCCCAGCGGCTGGTTTCATAAAAAAGATTGAGAGAGAGAGAGCGATCGGTCTTCAACAAGGATCTTGAGCCTTGGCTTGTAGATCTAGTTTCATATGGCCAATTCCCACATGCATTATAGAAAGGGTTTAAAAAAAGCTTTAAATGAAACGTGTAAACAACAGGGAGAAATATTTCAGTTCTTTAACATCACCATCTCCAGAATCACTAGCCTTTGGGAAAAAGTAAAGTTCTTCGTGGTCTCTGAGAAAGCACACTAATGGGTTTAATCTGTGCGTGCGCAGAGGTCTCTGGAATATTCTGGAGCTCAAACTTGCAGATTAAACCCATTGGTGTGAATTCACAGATGACCACTCGAAGAACCAGAGTTACAGCTAAGTAACCTCTCTATTCCTCTGCACATACTGTATAGGTCCAGACCGTCGTGTGTGGCAGAATTAAATCCAA